TCTGTCATAGAATAATGTCAAGTGGGCAGGGTCCAGTGGGAGGTGGTAGGAGGCCAAAGAATTTATCCAGGGTTTCCACTTGAAGAAGACGGAATGCACACCATTATTGTCCCTGGACTTGTTTTCTGGGTCTAGTCTCACCCAGTATATGTCTGCATACTGGTCTGGCATCTCTTCTCTCAGAAGCCACCAGGAGTCCATCGATACACCGGTCACACATCTGTAAATTTGCCCCCCTGGAAAAGTCACTTGTAGACCATCCGGTCCACATAGAATTGACGCATTGGTTTTAGTCAATAAGTCTCTTCCCAGCAGGTTGACAGGTGTCTTTGGAGCATTTACAAAAGAATGCCACAGTGTCTATGTTCCAATTTGTGTCTTTAAACGTTTAGTGAGTGGCAGTACCTCAGGTGTCCCAGAAAATCCAACCAGGGTGATGTGCTCCTCAGAGAGCAGGACAGGGTGTATCTTTGTATTGATGGTAGAGTAGGTGGCGCCAGTGTCCACCAGGGCCATCAGGTTGTCGTCCTCCACCCTTATGGGAAGCATAGGCTCTGCAAGCACCTTGTCCCCTGGATTTCCTAGGCAGCCCTAGTAAGATTGTTCATGTTCATACTCGCCCCAGTAATTCCCCTGCTGGTAATATTGTCCATCTCTCGGGGCCAGGTTGTCATTTGGAGCCGTCCATGGGGAGGGAGGGCCTGCGCGCTCTGGTCTGGGTCCCATGCCTCTCTGGGGGCCCCTCCCACGCACCATCTCAGGCGCTCCATGGTAGTAGGAGGCCTCTCCTTCAAAGGGGCAGTCCTTCGCCCAGTGACCGTGCCTGTAACAGAGGTGACACACATCCCTGCCCCCTTTCCAGCTTCCACCCCTTCTTCCTCCCCGGCCCCCACGCCCACCACCTCTGGCCCCTCCCCTGTCCAGTCCTGTCGTGGTTGAGTCGCAGGTCCAGCAGGCATGTTAGCCATCTGATTTCTAGTTTCCTTTTTATTTTGGGTGGCTTTATTTCTAGCTTCACTAAGCTGTAACTTCAAAAGTTGACAAGTCATATCTTCAACACTCTTTCTCTCTTTAGTTTTATTTTCAACATATCGCTTAATGTGAAAGATTAAATTTGTCTTCCACTGCGCTGAATCTGGGTTAATATTAGCCGGGTTGTCCTCAATTTTTGAGCGTATTGTTTCTGGTAAACCATTCAAAATAGCTGCTCTAAAAGGCATGACTTCACTGACCTTGTGAGGGTGTCTTCCTACAGTGTCCATCCACTTGGCCACACTCTTGTCATAAAATACAAGTGGGTCCTCAGACTCCAGCTAAGTTAACTCACGAGGGGCAGAAGACAGCGGGGTTGGAAAGTTCTCCCTCAGTGCTTCATACCAGGCATTTGCATACTGGCCAAATCTGGAAGAATCACAAACATCAGCAGTACCAGCTTGTCTTTCAATAGCATCTCTCTCCCATGGTTTACTGCATGCTGCCAACACTGCCCGGACGTCACCCATCGCCACATCATGACCTGTAAACCATGTGTTGAGACTGGAAATCCAGTTTCCAGCTCCCTGACACAATGGAGGCATTTTGTCTTTTATAGTCTGCATGTCACTTACAGAAAAAGGATGGTACTCCCCAGCTGCGCCTCGTCCTGGTCTCAGAGGGAACATGGATTTTGTCTGAGACCTGGTTCTGCTTGCAACTGGTCTATTTCCCTCAGGCTCCTGGTCTCTGTCATCACTACTATCGTCAGAAGAGAATTTAGCTCCTTTTTTAGCCTGTTTAGCTTTAATTGCTGGTGGGGGCATGGCACAGTCTCCCTTTTCATTTTCACTGTCCCTCCTAGTCATGGCTCTGCGTGCGGCTTCATTAATTAATTTTGCATTCTCCTGTCTAGCGGTCTCGTAATCATGGGTCCTACTTGGAGTTTCTTCTCTCTCAATTCTGTCTGTGGTGCATTCAAAGGTCGGTTTCCTAGCTCTAAAATTTCTGAGAGAGTGCAGGAGGAGCTCCTGCACCTCTTGAATGGGTGGGGGTTGGTGAGGGGTGTGTGGGAGCTGTGGCGGGAGGCTGACAGCTGGATTTTGACTCGGATCTCTATTGTCCCCCACAGACTCCTGTTCTGTCCCTTCGTCAAATTCGCTGTCTACAAAGTCATTGTCCCATCTCTTTCCTACCGCCACTTCTCCTGAAAATTTATATTGTGGCAGTATTAGATTTGGCTTACCTGGTTCTAAACCCAGAGAATATTTTGGTGGAGCCGTGGGTAGGGATGGGTATATATTACTCACCGGCATTGCTCCGTTTTCTGTTTCCTTGTCTTTACTTACCATAGGTAATTTTGCCAATGCCGTGGCAGCCAGAGCAAAGTTGTGTACCTTGGTCCTCAGTTTCTCAGCCTTTTTTAGTTCCTTCTTAATTTTCCTACGCTCATTCCAACTCTCTCCCTGCTTTCCCTCAAGCTCTAGTTTATCCTGTTTTAAATTATTTTCCTCTTCCCGCAATATCTTAGCTAATGCGGACGCTGTCATATACTCAGGTATGACCCTTTTGTTCTGTATTTCTTCCCATGCTTTCACAGCCTTTCGTTTTGCCTTGTTCCTATGTTCTTTATCCAGACCACTCAGAATGTGAGCCTCTATTTCTCTATAGAGCTGCTCGATTGGAATGGCTGTCTCCATTTTTCGGGGGGGCCCAAAATTCCCCCAGGTTCCAATGGGTTAAACCTAACTTGTGTGTTGACGCGTCCGTCAACCACGCTAGTCACAGCGGGCTTTCCCGTTTCTGACAAGGCTCTCAAAAAATCTTTACTTTTAATGTATTCTCGCAGGGTTCTAACTACTTAGACTCCTATTTTATTTAATTTTAACGTATTTTCGCAAGGCTCTCACTACTTTTTAAGCTTTTACCATTTTTACTTTTTGAATTAGCTCCTCCGTGGACAAAACTTCTCTCCCCTTGATTTGGTTTTTAGTCCAATATGCAGATTTTTAATTAGTCAAAAGGTATCTGCTTACCTTCAGATCAGCGGCCGCTTGAGGAGAGACGCAGAGTCCAGGGAGAGGTTGAAAGTCATCAAGGGATCACGTCAGGGTCACCAAATAACGTATTAAAAAATGACGTGTTCAAAATCCCTTATAAAGATGACCATGATTCAGAAAGTTAAATTCAAAAAGGTTTATTTCCCTAATACAAAAAGAATCTAAAACAGCTGTTTGGACCAAAAGTAACTATCCCTTATTCTCTATATAAAGTATCAAAGTATAACTTTGAGTGGGCGCTCCACATCAAGTCACACACTGTCCCTGGTCCGGTAAAAACTAACTCAACACATTCAAGCTATTCATTAAGTAAATGTGCAGGAAGAAGGGGGCGTGTCGTATCAGGCAGGTCTCTGGTCCAAGGTCCGGCCTTTTCCTCCGTCTCGCCAAACCTGAACAGAAATCATTCACGCACTACCCCTCCCTAATTCTATAGAAATATTACTTCCTTGAGATAAGGCCGGAGGCTCTCTGGGTCCCCCTCCTTCTTCAAACAACTGGAAGGATTAGCAGAATCCCCCCAGATTACCTATCATTAACTCACCCATGCACTTTGGACAAAAATGGGACCAGGGGAGAAGAGCAATACATAGTTCCCACATGACGTCACTACATACGGGGATTTGCCGACCCGGCGCCATTTGTGTTGGCATGCTGTGGGCAAAACAATAGAAAAAGAAGCTGAAACGTGTTAATGTCGTGATAAAGTTGAAAATGGTCATCTCCTGCTGGGTCAATGGATGTTCAAATCGTGCCGGAGGTTCCGTTAAACTTGGATTTTACAGTATACCCATCATTAGACTTCATGAATGTGAGAAGACTAAGCTTTTGTCAGAACAACCACGGAGGTTATGGCTTGCGAAGATAAACAGGCAAGAAACTCCCTCAAAACACGCAAGAATATGCTCGGAGCACTTTGTGTCAGGTGCGTATCGTATCTTATAATGTGTTGACAGACGTAATTTACTCAGTACTAACTTGTGTATGCTGATATCTGGTAACTTGAGAGTTTCATTATTTAGATTACTTTATTATGAGGAGGATCGGTGTCGCGTCCGAGGCTCTCGAGGGCAACGTAAATGTATTAAATAGATAATAATAGTTCTATGGTGGGCTAAAACAATGTTCACAAACAGCATTGCTTCTGTAAAAAGATCTGTGTCATAAAATAAACTGCTCTTTACGCCTGGAAAAATCAGTTGCCCACCATTCACCAAAACATACGGTCAAAAACGCGGAAATAAACAATAACAGCAATCCAGAGTGTCCGTGTGGCATTAGCATTAATTAAATTAATTGTTAATATAATTAAAATAATTAAATGGAGCTCCAACTGGTATTAAATCTAAAGTTTTTGAGAAATGTTTGCATTGCTTGTTAATTTTTGCTGCATAATTTGATCAAATATGTAAAACATGTCCGTAGCACGTTAAACTGTGGTGCCATTGTATTAATATACAATTATTTGCTCAAAAGTTGCCCTTTTTTTCCAATTTGCGTTTGAATATCTACATTTATTCTCATTCTTCTGTTTAATGGAATGCACAAACACAGCAGCGTGCCATCAAAGATGGCGTCTCCGAGGAGGTCATGTGACATTCATTGGTCTGTGGGAACTATGTATACAAGGTCTTTTTTTTTTGCTTGGAAAAATACAGAGTTCAATTCCGGGTCAATCAAATTCACATCGGCTTTTAGTCTATATTTAATACAACAGACGCGAAACTAGCGGTATTCTTTTACTTATATATTGTGTTAGCAGTGCGTTTCTTTAGTGCCATTTCATCAGTGATTGTTGTACAGCTTACAAGAAGTTGCGCTAATGCTAATGTTAGCATATGTATCAGATCGCAAATAAAACTAGGTGGCTCTGTGTTATGAGAGCGTAGGGGAAATGAGAAGCCATTGAGCGAGTTGGGGGGCGGTGCTAAACATTCAAACATTGCAGAAACGGGTATAGCGCCTTTAATGCATGGGGAAAATCTAGGTATCCAAGCTTAAATTCAGGAGTTTTCATTGCACTTCAAGAGGAGACACGGGAGAAACAAGGGTGGTCCTGAACGCAAGTTCATGGTTCTGGCTGCGCGTCCATGGTTAAAAATGCTAATCAAGCATTTAGCATTCTACTTTGGACTAGAGCAGAGAAAATGGTCCGAATCAAGCGGGTACTCCACCTTTTGACCTGTCCTACTCCACCCAGAGGCTACTCCACCTCTGCCGGTGTGACCCATCCTGCTCCATCCAGAGGCTACTCCATCTGTGCTGCTGTGACTCGTCCTGCTCCACCCAGAGGCTACTCCATCTGTGCTGCTGTGACCCGTCCTGCTCCACCCAGAGGCTACTCCATCTGTGCTGCTGTGACATAAAGGGCTGTTGCTGATTATTACTATTATTATGTTTTTAGAATGATCAATTGTATTTTTATTTTTGCTGCTACTGGACACCTGAATTTCTCCTACGGGGATCAATAAAGTATCTATCTATCTATGGTTCTGTCTGCGCATCTAAGGTTCTGTCCGCGCGTCTATGGTTCTGTATGCACGTCTATGGTTCTGTATGCACGTCTATGGCTCTGTCCGCACGTCTACGGTTCTGTCCACACGGATATGGTGTATACCTGTTACATCCAGTGGTCGCGTCCAATTTTTACGTTTCAAAGTACTTAGCTATCTGCTACCATCTACTGATATGAAAAAGTATTACGATGTTACTCCACGTGGTTACTACATGTGGTTACTCCACTCCTGGTTCAAAACAAGTCAGCAGTCGGCAATGGTGGATGCAGTTATTTTTAGACAATGTAGGCGAATTTCTCTCGGCACACCAGACAATATCATACGGCACACTTGTTGAAAAACACAGCACCATTGTGAAAGCAATTAGGCCCTTACCCCAGTCGGGGCTCGGGCCTAAAAAATTAATATATAAACCAAAGAATTTGTTCGAAAGTCTCCAAACAAAAACAATATAGGTTTAAATGGCACCTGATACATCATTTTAAAGCGTTTGAGTTTAAGCACACAACCGTCATGTTTTGGTGAGTGATGGGCGCTGACGCGTCTGTCACGCACCGCAACCCCTTGCATTCACTATTGTGAAAGCATTAGGCCCTAACCCGAGTCGGGGCTCGGGGCTCGGGCCTAAATAAGGAAGAGTTTGCATGTTTCCCCTGTGTCTGGGTGGGTTTCTTCGGTTTGAAAAGATTCTGATTGGCCAAAAGCCACATTTGGCTCGCCAACTTCTGGTTTGCCATGACGGGTTTAGGCTCTTGTCTCCTCCCTAACAATGTGGATAAAACAACAGCAATGTCGCAAGTGATGCAGCTTGTTGTTTTCCTTTTCAACCGTTGTTTTGGCGCCATCAGCTGGTGGTGACATGGTGCCAATCATCACATAAGGTTCAAAACACTATTGATTACTAAACGATCATTATCATTGTTCACTAAATTAGCCATATGTATTGTGTATGGACCACTCGTATTTCCAGTTCAGTTACTTTTTAAATTGTGAAGCTGGAGAGATGCTTTTCAAATGCAAGCGCTAGTTAGACCTTAGTGAGTGCATTTTCCTGAGCTGTAATTGTCACTCACTCAGTTTCTAAATGTGTTGCATGTTCTTCCCACAGAGCGCAGTGCTGATGTTGCAGAGCAGAGCGCCAAAGAAAAGGTGCTCTCATGTTTCTCTCAAAATATGCTTTTTTTGTGGGATTTTGACAATGAATACATTTACATACAGTACTTACTAACGCACAGGCATGCTGAGACACCCTCACACACGCACAGACACACAGGCATGCTGAGACACTCACACTGGCACAGACCCACACACATGCAAAAAAAACTGGTAGAGATGTTAAAAACAAATTTAAGTTTTCCATAACAACATCCACTTTGAACCAGATTCAGATGGAGCAGAATTTTCCTCCCTCTGTTCTCAAAGCTCAAGATGAAAAGTGAGGATTGTTTTGGCGAAGGGGAGATTACACAAACATCCATGACCCAGAACTGCAGTGACCATGAGATTTTAAAAATAAATTTTAATCATTATAGTATATTTATGACCATTTACTTTCATAATATAGTAGTAGTAGTATTGTAAATCTTTAGTAGAAAATGTATGGCTTACCGCCTGTAACTCCCTATGCTACCATCAGAGGAAGGCTGCAAACACAGGACGTCATCTGAGAAATGAACAAAAGTAATTTATGGGTAATAATTTTGTTTCAAAAGCATTACAGTGCTCTGATGTGATGTCATAGTTGTACAATGACATCAAACTGATACAGGACTATGACAGGAGCTTTTGGACTTCTTGAACTTCCATGGATGGATCTAAACAAAACTCCAGGTCTGACTGGTGAGGTACATGTTAAAACATGGAGAAAACTGAGGAAATGTCTCTTGTGATGACTCCCATTCCCATTCCAAAAATAGCTGAGGAACATGGTAATATGAACATATACAGTATCAGCTGGCTTTAAGTCTTTCAGGAGGAATATGAGCCGATACCACAACAACATAATCTACAACACACCATGAAACGCAATTGACACCAACAAGAGTGTCATGTTGCTTTTGTACTTATGTAGATGTACACTTTTAACTTTTCAACTTTTCCCCTTTTTTTTGTATTTCTAGGCAAAAGGAGAGCAGCTGTTGAACACACTCTTGGTGCTCATGGACTCCAAACAAGGTCCTGGAGCCGGTCCTGCTTCTGTATCGGGTCCAGGTCCTGGTTCAGACCTGACGGTGAAAGTGGGTCTTGAGAGCGCGGTGCAGAAGAAGAGTGAAGATCAATCTATGGTGGAGGTGCAGGAGGTGGTGAGCTGGGTGAGGGAGGTGCAGCCGGCCCCTGCGCGGCTTCTTTACGGGGAAACGCCAGCAAAAGTCCAAGTCCCAGAGACCAGACCCAGAGGAAAACCGGTCCAAGTCCCAGAGCTACAGCTGGATGTACGGACGAGCCGCCAGCACCTGGATAGGAATGAGTTTGGATACGTGATCACCGACACTGAGTGAGTGCTTTAGTGCTGGACTCCACCGGCCGCGGCTCCCTTTACGCGCGTAGGCTGCTGCCCCCCTCTCCCCCCATGTTTAGGGCTTTGTTTTAACTTCAAAACTATTCAAATAAAAGAAGCGATGTGTGATTTGCATGAGCCGTGGCCATGATCTATGCAAAGCAAGGCACTATTGAAGTGTGAGATTTCATAACACTTTGAAGCAACTTTTGTTAAAGTTAAACTCATCATTCTATTGTATTGTATTGTATTGTATGTACTTTATTTGAACAGGGACAGTGTACAGTTAAGCATTAACACAAAAGAAGAGATGCATGTACCAGGTTATAGCAGAGATGCTAATTTCCACCTGTAGTCCCTGGGCAGGCTGGTGTTATATTCATTTAAACTGATTACAATGTAGATGGATACATGACTGTGTCTTACATTTACAGGCTCTAAATAACATCATTCACAAACATTAAGTTTAATAACAATAAATAAAGCTCCCCAATTTCTACTAGAATATTACACTCACTCACTCACTCACTCACTCACTCACTCACTTGTGCGTGCAAACTTGCTTTTTCAGAAGCCATTTCTTAGTCAGCCAAGAAAATGTTTTAAATGTAGCACACGCAATGATCTCTGTGGGCAGTGTGTTCCACTGACTCATGGCCGTCACAGAAAAAGCAGATTTAGCAAAAGTTGTTTTACATTTTTTGACGCTGCATTCTCCTCTGGAAGTCGATCGAGTGGTTCTGGTAATTTTGTCTGCACTCAATGAAACAAATTTTCTTAGAGGAGGTGCACTAACACCATGGATAATTTTAAACAGCAAACAAACATTGGAGTAAAATGTTAGGTTTTCAAAGTTGAGAAAGTCATATTTAGAGAGGATGGGACAGTGATGGTACCGCCTGGACTTGTTATCATGGATCTTAAGGGCACACTTGTACAGTGACTCGAGGGGTTCCAGAGTGGTTTTACAGCCCTGAGACCAGCTCGAGACACAGTATACAAAATGTGACAGGATCATGGAGTTCAGATACAGATGGGACGCCTCAGTGGTGAGTGACCCCCGAATGTATCTGAAGTTGGCCAAATTAAACTTAAGAGTGTTACGGAGTTTCTTTACATGATGTTTGAAGGTCAGGTTTCGATCCAGGGTCACTCCTAAATATGAGAATACATCAACATTTTTTATTTTACTGCCATTAATAAAAATATCTGAACAACTGATATGCTTACCTCGGTTTGTAAAATACATTGAAACGGTTTTGTCTGTGTTTAATGTCAGACAGTTTTGACACAGCCAGTCAGCAACATTTTTCATTTCATTTGTTAATTTTGTGGCCACATCACTTTCGTTTTTGCCATGAACAAACAACACTGTGTCGTCAGCATACATGATGACATTTGCAGTGCAGGGGGAGGTCATTTATATAAATGCTAAAAAGCAGAGGCCCCAAAATGGAGCCCTGCGGCACTCCCATGGTGTAGTTTTTGAGTGGAGAGAGGGTGTTGTTCACTCTCACACTCTGCTGTCTGCCACTGAGGTATGACTTCAGCCAGTTTACTGTCTGGTTAGAGAGGTGGAAATGAGTGAGTTTGTTCAGGAGGATGTCATGACTGACTGTGTCAAAAGCTTTTCGGAGGTCGAGGAACACCGCCCCCACCACTCCTCCTTGATCAAGGCTAGATCTAATCTCTTCAGTGAAGTAGCAGCAGGCGGCTTCTGTGGAGTATTTGCTTCTAAAACCAAATTGTAGAGGGTTTAAGAAGCAATGGCTGTCAAAGTGTTCAATAAGCTGCTCTGCTACAACCTTTTCAAAGACTTTGGAGATAGTGGGTAGGATGCTAATGGGGCGGTAGTTGCTGACCTCCTGTTTGTCCCCAGACTTATACACAGGCGTGACAATGCCAGGTTTCAAAGCAGCCGGAAATGTACTGTTACTTAGTGACTGGTTTATAGTTTTTGCCAGAGGTAGGCATAGAGTGTCCTTATGTCTTTTTAAAAACAAACTGTCCATCCCATAGATATCTTTTGCTTTACTATTATTTAGTTTATCGATACTTTTGATAACTTTTTCTCCATTTACGAGTTTTAATTTAAAAAGGGCTTCCTCGTCGACTTGGGGTTGATTATAAAAACATGGTGCTACGAATGATTGCACCAGTTTTTGAACTGAATTAATAAAATAGTCATTAAAATGCATTGCCAAAAAAGCACTATCATTTTGAATCTCACCATTTACTTTTAGTTGCATATCACAATAAGTCCGGCGTTTACCCAGAAGCTTATCAATATTTCTCAATAAAACTTTACTATTTCCTTTTGCTTCCTTAATTAAATGAAGAAAGAATGTGGCCTTAGCTTTTCTAATTAGTGCCGTTACTTTATTTCGAAGGCTTTTGTAGACCAGGTGGTTAGTTGATAATTTGCTTTTTATAAACATTTTCAAAGCAGCATCTCTTTTCTTCATTAATTTCCAGAGTTCAGCGTTAAACCAAGGCAGACTCTGCTTCTGCGTCGGTTTCCTTTTTTTCCTTTTTGTATATTTAAGTATAAGATTTTGTAAGGTCACCGTTAACTCACTACATGCTTGTTCACATGTCTTATTTCCAATTATTCCTCAATTATTTTGAGGTATATGAGTGAACAAATGATTGTCCATGTCCTGGTGCTTGTGTCCAGATTTATTTAGTTTTCTTGCTACCAATGTGAGGTTGTGGTCAGATAGACCAGTAAGTAAATTGTATGTTTTTATTATCCTTTCGGGTTTATTTGTGAAGATGAGATCAATTAATGTTTGAGAAGTTTTGGTTACTCTTGTTGGTTTATTTATCATTTGGGTCATCTGATATGTTTTCATCATATTCTTAAGTTTTGTCTTGCATGCTGCATCATTCCAGTTTATATTGAAGTCTCCCATGAGTAAAATTTCTTTGCCATCAAACATTTTAAGCATTTCAAACAGTTCAGAGTAAAAATCATTTGTGGCTCTAGGTGGACGATAGAGAGCAATGATAACGAATGACATTTCTGGAGAGAGTGTGATATTGACTCCCACACATTCTAATTTATGTTTGGTGAGGTCTATCTCCTGACTTTGGATATACTCTTTAACATAAATCAGAACACCTCCTCCCTTTCCCTTTTCTCTATCCCGTCTATAAACATTGTAGCCTGGGACAGAATGTGCAGACAGGGGTGAAGTGGCACATAACCAGGTTTCACTTAGACATAAATAGTCCAGGTTAGAGTCCGTTAATAGGTGTTCGATTTCCTCTGTCTTTGATAAGATACTCCGTATATTTAGGTGTCCTCCGAAGACACCTTTTGGTTTTGAGTCAGGGTTCCATAGCACGCTTGCATGATTGACAGTTTGGAAAAGTTTGATCCGTTTCAGTGTCAGAGCCACAGGTGCTTGACGCGCGCCATGGTGCGCGCTCGCGGTTTGTACAGTCTGCAAAAAGTTTTTGGCTATGTTTTCTCGTGCATGTGAAGCGTCAGAGTGAACCATCGATACACTTAGAGTAGCGTTTACCTGTGGTTGATGTTGAGAGGCCATAGGCAGGACCACGGGTCCCGGGTTTAACTGAACGTCTCCACATAAGAGAAGAACAATGCAGAGCAGGGTTTCGCCTCGCCGTCGGAACATGCTTCGCCGTGGCACCCCGCGTTCCACACTTGGGGCGATGGCCTTCCCTTTGTCCAGCACATGGGAGAATATGATGAATTGGCTCCAGGAAACCAGCGGTACAACGTGGAAGCGTCCCATCAGTGTGCGCTGCTCCACGGGACAAGGCGGAGCCACACTTTCCTCAGGATGCGCGGTGCGTTCCCGTGCAGCCGCGATCCAGTTTCCATACAATTGCGTGATGAGAAGAGCCAGCACGCATAAGGCCACAGTCATGTTATACAAAAACTTCTGTGTTTTGCCGTGTTTGTAAATGAGGACCCATTTTCGACAGGGCCAGAATATATGAGAGAGATCAGGCGGCTTCCTTGATGTTTTAGGAAAAGTCGCAGCAGCACCTGCCAAGCTGCCGCACCTTGCTGCAGCCATATAGATATGAATGACAAGGTCAGTTTACAAAAATGGTTCTGATCTTAAACCTAAACTGATGATCAAGTGTTCACAAAATCAATGTGCAGAAGCCAGTACTTTTCCCTTGTTTTGTCTATCTGAAGGCCAAGCTACAAGCACACTGTGGAAGCTGCTGATTGGAGGTCTCCATGCCTCCGCTCTGTATAATACACTTGCATTCTATTGTTTCTGTGATCGTGTGTTTTGTTCGTGCTGTCTCTACCATCAACAATAAAACATGTCTTCTGGCACATCTTCTTCAGGTGGTGGAGGATGCGGGCATTGTCTGTAACATCTAGAGAACAGAAGACTTTTTTTTTTACACAAAAAGTGTTTTTTTTAAGCCAAAACTGAGAAACCTCAAGAGAATGCATCTGGATCAGCACTTGGACAATCTGCACAGCCCCTGATTCCAGTCAGACTGTGAGCTGCTGAGACATGGACAATACCATCGTCCTCTTTTGCATGGACACCATTTGGAACAATTGGATTACACAATTTGGACATGATTTGGAACAATCTGGATTTCTGAATTTGGACATAATTTGGACTGAATTGGATCGCTGAATCTGGACACTAAAGCTGAAACGTGTGATTGAAAGACACGTCACAGAAGAATTCATGGCTCGACACAAATGCAGCCTGAAGAAATCAACACGGAGAAGTGGGAGAGACTGTTTTCAAAGCAATATCTGGAACCACCATCGACTGATGAAGTTTGGTATTTTACTGAAGATTGTTGACAAGTTTTATGAAAGATCTGAAAATGTTTTATGAGTTTTCTGAGTTTTTGAAGTATTCCGAGTTCTGAGTTTTTTTAAGTACCGAGTTTGAGTTTTTGAAGTATTGAGTTATGATGTTATGTTGCTGTTTATCGATCCTGATGGTCACACGGGAATGTGTGACCAGAGGGGGGAATGTGAGATTTCATAACACTTTGAAGCAACTTTTGTTAAAGTTAAACTCATCATTCTATCAATGTGCAGAAGCCAGTACTTTTCCCTTGTTTTGTCTATCTGAAGGCCAAGCTACAAGCACACTGTGGAAGCTGCTGATTGGAGGTCTCCATGCCTCCGCTCTGTATAATACACTTGCATTCTATTATTTCTGTGATCGTGTGTTTTGTTCGTGCTGTCTCTACCATCAACAATAAAACATGTCTTCTGTCTGAATTAAAGACGCGATCCCAGACTTGGCACATCTTCTTCAGAAGCATTGAGGACGTCGCGATAGATGCAGCAAAGTTATTGAAAGCAATTGATAAAAAGGGGTGGAGAGAGAAAAGAACTCCAACATATCCAGGCTTTTTTGAAAGCGAGTCAATATTACATTACGCGAAAAATAAACTGCAGATTTAGTATCAGGAAACAATAATTTCAATTTAATACATGAAAGAAAATTACACACATTTGTTAACAATCATTGTCATTACCAGACACTTATAACCAACGACTACAAACATATATCAATACATGAATAATAATGTAGTAAATATATTTTTCCTTTGTATTCCCAATGGAAAACGGACCATACGCACATTGACGTACATAAAAAATAGGATTGTTTCTATTTCCTCCGTCCGCGGAGGAAACGGACACGTTTGGACGGACACGTTTGGACGGATACGTAGTACGTTTTACGCAGCCGGTGGAGTCGGGGCCTTAGACTTTGTGTATTTAATGGGATTATCACTATGGAGCTACTAATGCCCCTTCCACAGGAAAACAGTGATGCCGCAATGGACTTAGCTTTTAGTCGAGAGCCGTGGTTCCAAAGCTGTGTTTTAAACCTGTGTTTTGTTGTTGAATAGTTGTTAGATTTTTCTGTACAAATGTTTCACATCGACAAAGAGTAACGATAAACAAAAACAGCTTGAGGTGGTTAGCCACGTTTCTGTGTTGTGGCAAATCTGAAAAAAGTTTGTGGTGGTGACTACAGGTTCAGGTGACAGTCCTGCGGTATCTCTCATTTGTCCTCTCTCTCTCCAGTGGTCTTCAGACGGATGAGGGGTTGCATCTAATGGAGGTCCTGGCTCACATGTCCAACATCCATATGGCAAACTTCGCTGAGCTCTCGTGAGTCACACACACACATACAGGCACACACAAACGCGAACCCCAAACCATAGTAGTTTGTCTAACTAAAAGAAAAAACTTAATATGTTTTGAATACTCTCAGTCAGCTCTCAGTGCAACGAGTAAAATCGGTCTCACATGGCTCCTTCTTACACAAAAGATAACATGTTGTGTAGTAAGAAGACAGCATGTTGTGGTCTGGTTCATTAATTGACCATCACTGAAGAAAACAGCTCTGAGTACTTTTACAAAGTAGAAAAATAGGCAGTATGTATTATATATACATACAATTTTCTTGTAAGCATGGCTCTTCCCTGTGCTCTTAGGGCATGGTCACAAACAAACTACGCCAAGTGGCCCGGATCGATCCCACAGGGGTGTGAACACGTTTCGCGCCACATGGGTTTATTTTTCTAACCGTGCAAGCCCAAATGTAGTGTAGTACAACGCTCGGTCCAGCTGGTGGCACTAATACTAACTTCAGCAACTACCTCTGTTTCTCTTCGGCTGCTGTGGCGCTAATGGGCCGGGAAAATGGATCGCGTTCTTTGCAATCAATGCGAACCAGTGTGATATGTGTCTTTCTCCAATGTGCAGCTGCTTAGTGGGAAACGTGCCTGTGTGCAGGCGTGCGGTGGACAGAGGACACACCGTGGAGTAAACGGAGCGTTGAGAAATGAATGAATGAGAATAAAAAGTGTGGCCTATGAGGAGATACCGAAGCCAGGCAGGAATCTGAATGTTGGTGTGTTTTGGCGACAAAATAAAGTCTGATTTGGGGTCTTACATAAAAGGTGTAACTCAAGCAATGGAGAGTATAGAATGCGAAAGTATGCGATTGCAGGTAGAGGCGTGTGTGAAAATTATAATTTTCGTAATTTGACGCACAATATCACGTTCGCACCCCACCACCCACTTCATTGACCCCCCTCATCTGGGCTTTACAACCGTGCTCAGGCCCACTTCTCCCTACTAGGGATGTAAAAAACTATGAATTTTCATGACCACATACCAAGCCTCAATAACCGGTTGAAACCGGTTAACCGCGTAGTTTCAAATATTCCGTGTTCTATGAAATAACAGCCATTTCGAGCCATGCAGCTAAGCGTTCTACTAGATCAGAACCGAGACAGCGGCGCCAAAGCCGGCACTTTTGAGCACAGAGAACTTTTATTTTTCCATTCTTCTATGCTGCAGGTTAAAGCTTTTTAACAGCAAACGATGGCTCATTCACAAGAGCAGAGAGTGACTAGCCGCGTCTCGCAGGTCTCCGCTAAAGTCTCCGCGTATTTGCGAGGATCCTTTGGGCTGCGTGACAGACGAGCGTGACAGACCGGTATGTGTGTATATGTATGTGTGTACATGTGTGTATGTGTGTGTAAATGTAAGCTCCAATGTAGTTCTGACCCGCACCAGTGTGCAGCTTTGGCATTAACAGAGGGGAAAGATGATGCGTGTGGATGTTACGTATCAATGGAGGGGGGGAAATGAGTATGTGTGTGTGCGCGTGCGCACAAGTGCGTGTGTGCGTACATATGTGGCGCATACGGCATGAAAGTCGGCCCGGAGTTTACGAATACATTAGCACACACAGCTAGAGATGGACCCGCTCGTCACACCATGCATATAGGGCTTAAAATAGCGTTATTAAAGAACTTCTCACCCCTGCTCCTCGGAGCTTACATCACTCACATTTTCTTTTCAAATCTCCCTCCAAATGGGCGTAGCCTGGAGGACTAAAGGGGACAGGCGGGGGGGGTGAGTGTGGGGCGGGTCTAGACTGTGAGTGACACTTGACATCAGCATTGGCTGTGACAGCGATGGAGAGTGATCAGAGACACCAGCTCTATAGATTCTGTGCGGTCTTAGGAGGTGGAGGACTTATCTTGAGAGAGAGAGGAGGAAGATGGTGGCCCCCAGCCCTATCAATTTGAGCCGCTAGCTCACGAGCTAGCGCCGCTAGTAGAGCTAGCGGCTAACGAGCCACTGCCGCTAGTGGCGCTAGCGGCCACCGGCAGCTGCCTCTGCAGCAGAGGCTGCAGCAGAGCAGGATTGTAACACATCATCAGTAGGGTAAACTAACCTGTCTCAGAGGCAGCTGAGGCAGCAGGCCGCCACAAAATGAGGCCTGTTTCTGAATGATATCGATTAGAGTGGAATAAAAAGTACGAACTGCTTGTCACAGGTAGTCTTCCCATATTCCCTTACAGTAACCGCTTATGTTGCGGTTCTTTTCTTCACAGTTTTGTCTGTATATTTTATGTATGAACCCAGACCGAGATAAAGTATATGTTATGGTGGTCATATAGTTATAAAATTCTAAACTCTGCCACAATAACCTGCGGCCACTGCACCTCCTTGTCCCCAAGGGAAATGATACCCCAATGTGCACTAAAGAAACAGTAATTTAACACACGCTCAAGCATAAAGTAGTATTTATTGTACACAAGTACAATAAACAATATACAATGAAATTGCACACGATATAGAACACTCGTAATACGAACAAAAGTCTTAAACTAAATTCAACTAATCTTAAACTAATCTAACAATAAAAACAACTAACTAATGACTAAAACTCCAATATTCAGCAACAACGCTATTAACACTACAGAATTATCTATAATACAAACAGCTATGCTAATAAAAATCTCCCTAAATGCTATAACTATAATCGTAAACCTGACAATCAATGAAAATAATAATAGACTGGGGCGTTTATATACTTCAGGGCAGCAGTGCAACTGACGTCAGGAACAACCTCACAAGTCAGAAACAACTGCTGCGCCAATATTGGCGCCAGATTCAAAATTCAAATGTAGTAAATACAGGTCGCCTGCAGATGGCGCCTCACAGACGGTTTTAGGCAAAAAGTTGATTTTTCAACTAATTTGCACCAAAGTGACAAAATTATGACCCGGATATGTAGACCACACTATTGGACATTCATTTATACCGTTTATCAGCAAAATGGATTTGAGGGTGAGTTGTCCTTTAAGAGACCTCCCCTCTCCCCCTTTTCTTTTTAGTAACCGACAGCTTTGACCGGTTAACACTGTGACGGTCAACCACCGGTTAAACGGTCACCGATTTACATCCCTACTGCCCAAGCACGATTGCAGCAACCGTGCTGAAGTCCAGTGGGCCACTTCGGCTCAAATTTTTCCTATTTTGAATTTGTCCGTTTATTGTTTGTTTACATAATGCTACTGGACATTATTCAAAGCTTTTCAGGTTTTGTTTAGTTTTTGTTGTACCTTAATCAAAAAGATTTCTTGACCATGTCGATACTGTCGAAGCGGTTGTTTCATTGTGGCGCTTCAGAGAGTGCATCGTTCAGACGGGTTGCTTTGTGATCCGTGACTGTACCGGTCACTGTGTGCGTGCGTGCGTAAGTGCTTTACACAATTAAAGCCAAGTGTATACTCACGCGTCGCTGGTTACAGTTGCGGTTACGTTGGACCTACGCAGCCACAGTGGCTCGTCCACTCGCGCGTTCCTCTTACGTAGTTTTGAAGATAATGTTGTAATCCCACAACCAACCAATGTGAAATTGCTCACTATTTCCATTACAGCAATATCATCTTCATCTACTTCATAACATATGATAGGACCAACATGAGACACAGTATTAGAAAGGAATGTGGATTTAAAAAAACATTGATTAATGAATTAATGTTTGTTATAAAAAAAGGTTTCTCCAAAGTGGCGTAGGCGGTTCCTTGTTTGTGAAGATTTCTTCTGCTTTAGCAACAATACTTCACCTGCGACAACACACATGAGCACAAAAAGGTTTATACTACGTGAGCCACTTTATCTTTTTTGCCTGTTCCAACTTTGAGGTTTTGCGAATACCAAACAAATTACACAAGATATGCCTTTTAGCTTTCAAATGACACTACATGTTCGGGTCTTTCCCAAATCAGCGAACCACTTCTTTAATAAAACATGTGGTGCGTTGGTTACGAACTGTCCATCCATCCATCCATTTTCTTCCGCTTCATCCGTTGCCGGGTCGCAGGGGCAGCAGTCTAAGCAGAGACGCCCAGACTTCCCTATCCACACACACTTCCTCCAGCTCGTCCGGGGGGACCCCAAGGCGTTCCCAGGCCAGCTGAGAGACATCCCTCCAGCATGTCCTGGGTCTTCCCCGGGGCCTCCTCCCAGTGGGACGTGCCCGGAAAACCTCCCCAGGGAGGCGTCCAGGAGGCATTCGGAACAGATGCCCGAGCCACCTCAACTGGTTCCTCTCGACATAGAGAAGCAGCGGCTCTACTCCGAGCTCCTCCCGTGTGACTGAGCTCCTCACCCTATCTCTAAGGGAGCGCCCAGCCACTCTGCGTAGTAAGCTCATTTCGACTGCTTGTATCCGCGATCTCGTTCTTTCGGTCATTACCCACAGCGGCTCAGCTCCCTCTTTACCAACACGGTCCGATACAGCGACCGCATCACTGGGCACGCTGCACAGATTCGCCTGTCAATCTCACGCTCCATCCTTCCCTCACTCGTGAACAAGACCCCGAGATACTTGAACTCCTCCACTTGAGGAAGGACCTCTCCACCCACCCGGGCAAGGCACCTTTTTCCGGTCGAGCACCATGGCCTCGGATTAGGAGGTGCTGATTCTCATCCCAGCCGCTTCACACTCAGCTGCAAACTGTCCCAGTGCATGTTGCAGGTCCTGGTTCATCGGAGCCAACAGGACAACATTGTCTGCAAACAGCAGAGATGAAATTCTGTGGTCCCCAAACCGGACCCCCTCCGGCCCCCGGCTGCGCCTAGAAATTCTGTCCATGAATACAGTGAACAGAACCGGGGACAAAGGGCAGCCTTGGCGGAGGCCAACATGCACCGGGAACATGTCTGACTTATTGCCGGTAATGTGAACACAGCTCTGGCTCCGGTCATATAGGGACCGGACGGCCCTTAGCATAGGACCCCGGATCCCGAACTCCCGGAGAACCCCCCAAAGGACACCCCGGGGAACATAGTCGAACGCC